AGAAAAAATTCAGTAAAGTAGAAGACAAATATTTGGAATCCACTTGTCTAAGGAGGAAAAAAAAGTGTGAAGAAAACTGAACAGAGCCTTGGGACACCATCAAATTGAAAAGAGCTGGGGGACGCCTTTAAGCATACCAACATATGCATAATAAAAGTTCCAGAAGGAGATAAAAAGGAACAGAAAGACCACGTGAAGAAATAATTATTGAAAAATTCCCAAATTTGGTAGAAGACAGGAATCCACAGAACTAAGAAGCTCAACAAACTCTTAACTAGTACAAACGCAAAAAGATCCATAACAAGGGATGTTATAATCAAACTGCTGGAAGAATAAGACAAAGAAAGAAACGTGAGAGAAGCAAGAGAGAAGATGCTCACCAGATACACAGGATCCTTAGTAAAACTGACCACCGATTTCTCAGCAGAAACCATGGAGGCCAGAAGTCAATGGGAGAACACATTTAAAATGCTCAAAGAACAAAACTATCATTCTAGATTTCTGTATCTAGCAAAATGATTCTGCAAAAATGAAGGCAACATTAAGACACGGACAAATAAAGACGAAGAGAGTTCGTTGCTAGAAGACCTGCTCTATAGTAAATGCCAAAAGGAGTCCTTGAGACAAAAATGAGTCCGCTAGACAGACTTACGCAAATGCACAAAGCACAACAACATGAAGGCAAAATACATAGGTAAATACAAAAGCCAGCACTGTTGTATTTTGGACATTTATTATTTGGGTTTGCTTTTTGTTTGTTTGTTTTGAGACAGGGTCTCTCTCTGTCACCCAGGCTGGAGTGCGGTGGCACAATCAAGGCTCACAGCAACCTCCACCTCCCAGGCTTATGATCCCTCCCACCTCAGCCTCCTGGAGTAGCTGGGACTACAGAAATACACCACCCTGCCTGGCTAATTTTTGCATGTTTTATAGAGACAAGGTTTCGCCATGATACCCAGACTGGTCTTGAACCCCTGGGCTCAAGTGATCCACCCACCTTGGCATCCTAAAGTGCTGGGCATAAGCCACTACACCCAGCCAGCATTTTTGGATTGTAACTCCTCTATTTTTTCTCTTGATGATTTAAAAGGCAAGACATAATAGATCTCGTGCTGTAGATTATAAAACAGCAATTATAAATCTATGTTAATGGGCATACAGTACATAAAGTTGTAATCTGTGACAATGACATAAAAGAGGAGGAAGGGAGCTGTGTATGAGCCAAGGTTTTGACTACCATTGAGTCAAAATAGTGTTACCAACTCAAAGTATCAAATTCAAAGCAGTATTACCAATTCAAAGTAGTCAATCCCATTGGTCACTGATCTCATATCTGTAACACTGTCTACTTGCTACATCTGTTTCTAACCCCCAAATCAAGTTATAAGTGTTTATAATAATCAAAATAATATTTTTAAGAGTAACTTCGGGAAAAAAAAGAAATATAACTCTTGTGCCAATATGGAGATAAATTAAGAGATGACACTGACTAGAAAGTATTAAGTCATTTTGATTGTTGAAGGGAGAAATGAGAATCTGAAACATATCCATAGAATTAGATAATCAAATGGATATAGTGAGTCAGACAAAAAGAGAAGAAATGTCCATCCTGGGCCATCAGATGGCTAATGCTGCCATTACCCCAAACAGAACAAGTTAACACAAGCATAATAAATTCCATGATCAATACGTTAAGCTTGAAATGACTCTGGATGATCCAAGAGAAGACAGGCAACAGGCAGAAACGGAGAACGAAAACTCAGAAAAGACAGTGAGACGGGAGACCAAGTATATATATAAGCCGTCAAACTACAGGCGGGAAAAGAAGCCCTGGAAACGCTGTACTTCTCCTGCCATCGTAACATAGAGTCATAAAAGAAAGGCCAAGGACAGAAACAGAGAAGACCTCACAGGGGAAACTGAAAAGAAACTGGGTAGGGCACTCAAGGCTGATGTCTCCGAACCCAGCAAAAGGAGCGGCCTTTCCTCTTCTTTCCCAGCGTGCTTTGTTAGCGTTCAACTAAGATAAGAATTAAGTAGCTTCCATTAGATCAGATAGTAAGGAAGGCATTAGTGACCACAATAAAACGAGCTGCTATGCAGACAGAAGTCGGTGTAGACAACTAGGAGTCGAACAGTAAGCAGCTGTCAGTGAAGGAAAGAAACGGGTTAGGAGGCTGGGCACGGTGGCTCACGCCTGTAATCCCAGCACTTCGGGAGGCCAAGGTGGCCGGCTCATCTGAGGTCAGGAGTTCAAGACCAGCCTGGCTAATATGGTGAAACACGGTCTCGACTAAAAATACAAAGATTAGCCTGACATGATGGCGGACACCGGAGTCCCAGCTACTCGCGAGGCTGAGGCAAGAGGATCAGCTGACCCAGGAGGCAGAGGTTGCAGTGAGCTGAGATTGTGCCACTGTACTCTAGCCTGGTGACAGAGCGAGACTTCATCTCAAAGGAAAAACAAAGGTAAAAAGAAAAAGCAATGGGTTAGTAGCAAGCACCACCGCCCCCCAAAAGGAGAGACAGAATTGTGCAATTTGGCCATTTGCTTTCACTTAAACTATTCCCATTTGTTGTAAAAGACTCAATTCCACATACAATGGGCTGTAACAAGCTGCAACACCAAACTCATGACCTGTACTTCCAGCAAGATAAACTGGAAAACCTCCAACAAAAGGAACCCTGGCAGACACCGCAGCATAAAACTAGTCACAGATAGAAAAAACGAAAACAATGGAGGAGAGCAAGATAAACACAAAGCACAAAGGACAGAATAAAAATAAATTCTTATCAATAATGTACCACTAGTTATTGATAATCACTATAAATAAGAGGTGAAACTAACCAGTTAAAAAAGAAAAATTGTCCAAATGGACGTTTACAAATCCAGCAATTCCTCACAGTGTTTGCTCAAGAGAAACAAAACTATCTGTCAAAAAGATTTTTATACACTAACATTCACAGCAGCTTTATTCATAATCCAGTGAAAACCTGGCCATAATCCAAATGTTCGCCTAGAGGTAAGTAGACAAATGAACTAGAGCAAAACCACACATCAGACCACTGCTCAGCAGCGCAAAGGAACACGCCACTGACTTACACAGCGATGTGGGGGAATCTCAGACCATTTTACAAAAGAACCCCTGCACAAAAATGGATACTACATGATCCTATTTTTATGCAGGTCTAGAAAAAGCAAACGAATACATATATTGTCAGAAAGCAGATCAGTCTGCCTGGGGCTGGGGGAAGAAAGATAAACTGACTGCAAACAGATACATGGAGACCTCTAGGAGTGATGAAACGTTCTGTATCTTCATTGTGGTCATCCTTACACAGTATACATATTTAGCAAAATCCATTGAGCTGTATATTTTAAATAGGTACATTTTATTGCATGTAAATTAAACTTCAAAAAACTTGATTTTAAAAAACTAAGCCAGCCAAACTCTTGCTTATAAAAACAACACACTCAAGGACAAAGCTGAGGACAAATAAAGGAAGAGGGGAAATCCGGGTAAGCACCACGGCCAAAGGAAATCTAGGATAGCTGTGATGTAAGACAACACAGCCCTTAGGCCAAAAGGCATTATTATGGATACAGAGGACCACAGAATAACATAAAATCAGCATGCAATCAGTAACAGAGAATAGATCTTGCTGTGGTTCTATTACTCAACATAAAGATACATACTCTTTTCATGTATATACATTAGGCTTTTTTTTTAACTGTCTATACACGATACGAGGCATACAGTACTTCTCAATAAATTTCAAATAATTTGTTTTATAAAGCCCACGTTCTCCAATAATAATATAATTTGGGTGAAAATGAAAAACAAAGATATAACTCCCCCAAATCTCAAATAAGCACAATACTAAAAATAAGTAATTTTCTTTTTTTGTTTTTTGAGACAGGAGTTTCGCTCTTGTTCCCTGGCTGGAGTGCAATGGCGCGATCTCGGCTCACCGCAGCCTCCGCCTCCTGGGTTCAGGCAATTCTCCTGCCTCAGCCTCCTGAGTAGCTGGGATCACAGGCACGTGCCACCATGCCCAGCTAATTTTTTGTATTTTTAGTAGAGACGGGGTTTCACCATGTTGACCAGGATGGTCTCGATCTCTTGACCTCGTGATCCACCCGCCTCGGCCTCCCAAAGTGCTGGGATTACAGGCTTGAGCCACCGCGCCCGGCCAAAGTAAGTAATTTTCTAACCTACAAGTTACACAGAAGTCACATTACTATTAGAAAATGTTTGTAAGTGAATCATAATTAAAATATTACTGAAGAAAATCTATGGAATGCAGCTAAAGAAGTACTTAGAGGTAAATTTTAATTAATTATAGAACACTGAATATTAGTGAGCTACCAATCCAACTTAAATTAGAAAAAGAATAGAAGGCTGGGCACAGTGGCTCACACCTGTAATTCCAGGACTTTGGGAGGCCAACGCAGGTAGACCACCTGAGGTCAGGAGTTTGAGACCAGCCTGGCCAACATTGTGAAACTCCATCTCTACTAAAAATACAAAAATTAACTGCGCATGGTGGCTGGCGCCTGTAGTCCCTCCCACCTACTCGGGAGGCTGAGGCAGTAGAATCACTTGAATCTGGGAGGCGGAGGTTGCAGTGAGCCAAAATCATGCCACTGCACTTTAGCGTGGGCAACAGGAGTGAAACTCCGAATCAAAAAAAAAAAAAAAAGAAGAAGAAAGAAAAAGAATAGAAAAAAAATAGATTACTGAAATACAAAAAAAAAGATATAATGATGAGGCTCCACAAGCTAAAATCTTGTTCTTAAAAGACTAAAAAAATTAACAACCTCCTGACAAAATTGGTCAAGAAAACAACGAAATGCATAAACTTGTAATATTCGAAATAAAAGGGAGATTAATCACCAAGACAGCAGAGCTCTTAGGAAAGTCTGCGTGTGAGCTGGGCAGATGGATGACCACAGCTCATCACATATTCGATCACCACGACCATTCGTTTTTACTTACCGCCAACAGAAGACACATTTATTAGCACATGCCAAGCTCGGGGTGGCTTCCATGCAGCGATGGCTCTCAATTCCATAGAACGTGTGTTTGTAACAACCTCCTCTCCCTCGGAGCATCGACTATGACAGGTAAACAAATCACAACTTGAATAAAATCATCAAAGCACAGAAACAAACCACCAAGGCATCATTTTTAAGAAGAAACCATGTGTTTCATAACCACGAATACTCCTACTGGTATCTGCATGAAGCAGGAAATTAGCATTAGACCATTTTAGGGTTTTGGCAGTGCTTTGGGTTTTTACTAAAGCCCAGTGGAATAAACCTATGATTCATTAACTCTGAAAACTCTATAGGGAGAACCACGAATGCTTTCATTTTCAAATCCATCAGACTCCTTCAAATAATATTAGTACAATAATATATAACGCTAGGAAACAGATAAACACCTAAAGCATGGGGGCGGTCTGCATATGTACGCACATCTCTGCTCTGAATAAAGGAGGATAGGTAAGGGAATGCGTACAGGAGTGGGTTTTTTTGATTGTTTTGTTTTGTTTTTGTTTGTTGAGACAGGATCTTGTTCTGTTCAGTGTTGCAATCATAGCTCACTGCAACCTCCGACTCCTGGATTAAAGCAATCCTCCCGCCTCAACTTCTCACGTAGCTGGAACTATGGGTGTGAGCCACCATGCCTAGTTATCTTTTAATTTTTTGTAGCGATGAGGTCTCACTATGTTGCCCAAGCTGGTCTCGAACTCCTGGTTTCAAGCGATTCCTCCCACCTCAGTCTCCCCATATGCTAAGATTATAGTTGTGAGTGAGCCATTGTGCCCAGCCCTGAAGTATAAATATTTGAGACATTATGGGGGTAAGTCACAGTTATATAAGAAACAGATTATCCCCAAAAAGATCACTATTTGATGCAAGGGATAAAATCATATATCACATGAGACATATAAATTGGTACCTGAAGTAAGAAGGTAATCTAAGAAATATCTGGATCAACTAGGGTTGGAATCAAGATAATATCAAGTTTAAAAGGTAAAATCAGATCTCTGGGTAAGACAAACTTATTTCAGTGCAAGTGAAAGCAGTGAAGCCTGGGAGAAGGTGATGCAAGAGAGGGGATGAGGACTTTCTCCTAGGATCAGAGGAAGGCCCGGGTGCTAAAGAAGTCAAATCAATGTCATTCCCCAGTGTGGGGCAGAACAAAGGAAGTCATCCACAATAACTGATTTTGAGGCCAAGTGATTGAAATAATACAGAGTTAACAATACCAACAATGAACAAGGAGATGGAAAGTGGAGACACGAATGAGTGGCCTTTACACACATATGGGGGAGGTGTGTATATGTATTAGTGTACTACTTTTTTTTTTTTTTTTTTTTTTTGACAGAGTCTTGCTCTGTTGCCCAGGCTGGAGTGGAGTGGAGATTGCAGTGGTTCAATCTCAACTAACTGCACCCTCCGCCTCCCGGTTCAAGCAATTCTCCTGCCTTAGCCTCTCAAGTAGCTGGGATTACAGGCGTGCACCACCACCCCTGGCTAATATTTGTATTTTTAGTAGATACAGGCTTTCACCTATTGGTCAGGCTGGTCTCGAACTCCCAACCTCAAGTGATCCACCCACCTCAACCTCCCGAGGTACTGTTATTAATATAAGCCTGTCCACAATGAAAGAACATTCTATAAAATTTTCCTAGCTTAATTACTGCCAGTTGACCATGAAGCCTTTTAACTAGTTTTGGTTCTGGAAAAAAAAAAAAAGTTTCACTGTCCATCTCAGTACTTGCATTTGAAAAAAAAGGAGTAAAGGGAAAATACTGTTCCAGAAACCTGTGCCTACAAACCTCTTCCAAGTTCCTAATAAAATGTACAAGGCAGCAAACAAAACATTCAAATCTTGCAAACAGCACTGAAAACCAAAATGTCCAACAAGTGCCAGAATCGCAGAGTAATTTCCACAAAATCTCATGCCACTAGAGAAACACTTCACTCACTGCTGATTAACAAGTGAATACACTTGGTTATTAACTGCCCTGTGCTTCCCCCTCCAACTCAGGTTGAAGTCATAACCCCCAATGCAACGACATTTGGACACAGGGCCTTTAATGAGGTAATTAAGGTTAAGTGATGTCAGGTGAGTGGGGCACGAATCTGGCAGAACTACTGTCCTACGAAGAGAAAGAGAGACCAGAGATGTCTCTGCATGTGCACAGAGGACCGATCATGTAAGGAAGTTGGAAGAGCGGCTGGGCAGGGTGGCTCACGCCTGTAATACCAGCACTTTGGGAGGCCGAGGCAGGCAGATCACGAGGTCAGATCAAGACCATCCTGGCGAACATGGTAAAACCCCATCTTTACGAAAATACGAAAAAATTAGCCGGGCATGGTGGCGTGCGCTTGTAGTTCCAGCTACTCGGGAGCCTGAGGCAGGAGAATCGCTTGAACCTGGAAGGCGTAGGTCGCAGTGAGCTGCGATGGAGCCACTGCACTCCAGCCTGGCCACGGAGCAAGACTCCATCTCAAAAAAAAAAGATGGACGAGCAACCAAGGTAGCTTCGCCAAAGGACCAGTGAGAGCTTCCCAGAGGTGTGCGGTCCAAATCCAATACTGAAAGACTAAAAGGACTCTGTAAGACACCAGCAGAGAAGCATGTGAGAAGAGAATGCAATGGTTTTCATTTTAAAAATGATTTCTCCAAATGTTTACTTAAGTCTGTGATCCATTTTGAATTAATTTTTATATAAAGTGTGAGGTTTAAGACAACTCTTTCTTGAGATTGGTTGGGGGAAGCAGTCTTTGGGTCTTTTATTTTTTTCTGTTGGTTTGGCCTATGGATATCTAGTTACTCCTGAAAATTCCACCATGGAACTTGATCTTGTTTGGCTGTGTCCCCACCCAAATCTCAACTAGAACTGTATCTCCCAGAATTCCCAGGTGTTGTGGGAGAGGCCCAGGGAGGTCACTGAAACATGGGGGCCAGTCTTTCCTGTACTAGTCTCATGACAGTGAACACGTCTCACAAGATTTGAAGGGTTTATCAGGGTGTTTTCACTTTTGCTTCTTCCTCATTTTCTCTTGCCCCCACCATGTAAAAACTGCCTTTTGCCTCCTGCCACGTTTCTGAGGCCCCTCAGCCCTGTGAAACTGAAAGTGCCATTGAACCTCTTTTCCTTCCCAGTCTCAGGTATGTCTTCATCAGCAGCATGAAAATGGAATAATACAGAATTGCTTTTGCATTTTTGTAAAAAACCAATCGAACATATTTTGTAAGTCTATTTCTGGGATCTCTAGTCTTTCCCTTGATCTGTAAGTCTATCCCTCTGCCAGCAGTACCCCCTCTGTCTTGGTAACTATGACAATATAGTAAGCTACAAGATCAGAGTAAACTACCCCTCCCAGTTCTTTCTTCTTTGTCAACATTGTTTTTGCTATTCTAGGGTCTACGACTTTCGAGTCTTAGATGAAGTTTGCCTGTTTCTACAAAAATCTTATTGGTATTTTTATAAGAATTACATCCAACCTATAGGATCAATCTGGGGAGAACTGACAGGTTATTATTCTGAGTTTTCTAATCCATGAATGTCGTATGGCTATTTGTTTAGATTTTCATTTCATACTGATGAAAGAAATCAGTATTTTTAAATCTTCAGCCTCCAGTCCTGTGTATGTTTTGTTAAATGTAAATCTACGCGTATTACTTTCACTGGAGTGATTGTAAATGAACTTTTTAATTTTGGTTTTCATATGTTCATTGTTAATATACAGAATAAAACTGATTTTTTTGCTTTGATATTGTATCCTGTGACCTTGCTGAACTCAAGTTATAGGAAATTTTTTTTTCTGTCATTTCCTTGAGATTTTCTACCTCACAATCATGTCATCTGCAAAACAAGATGGCTTTATTTCTGCCTCTGCAAGCTGTATGCATTTTCTTTCTCTTGCCTACTTCCAGTGGCTAGAACTTACAATACTACGTAAAACAGGAGTGGTGAACAGAGACCACTTGCTTTATTCCCAATCTTATGAGCAAAGCATTTACTTTTTCATATTGGGTATGATGTTAGGGGTAGGAATTTTGTAGACACTCTTTATTAAGTTAGTATTCTTCTATTTCTAACTTGCTAAGAGTTTGTAATGATGAAGGGTTAGACTCTGCTAAATGTTTTTTCAGAATCAATTGATATGACTGACTGACTTTTTTTCTTCTTAACATGTTTGATATGATAGACCGCTTTGGTTTTTGAATGCTGAACCTGCCTTGCATACCTGGGAAAAATCTACTAAGTTATGGCATATAATTCTTTTTATACTTGGCTGAATTCTATTTGCTAATATGTTGAGGGTTTTTGTTTTGGTTTTGGTTTTTTTTTTTTGTTTGTTTGTTTGTTTGAGACAGTCTTGCTCTGTTGTCCAGGCTGGAGTGCAGTGACGCAATCTCAGCTCCCTCCGCCTCCTGAGTTCCAACCTCCACCACCTGAGTTCAAGCAATTCTCCTGTCTCAGACTCCTGAGTAGCTGGGATTACATGCATACGCCACCAGGCCTGGCTAATTTTTGTAATTTTAGTAGAGATGAGGTTTCACCATGTTAGCCAGGCTGGTCTTAAACTCCTGACCTCATGATCCACTCATCTCAGCCTCCCAAAGGGCTGGCATTACAGGTGTGAGCCATCAGGCCTGGCCTCTATTTGTTAATATCTTGTTGAGAATTTCTACATCTACATTTCTGACAGACTGGTCTTTAGTTCTATTTTACTGCATGGTCTTTTCAGGATTTATCGGGTTAATATTGGTCTCAAAAAATAAGTTGAGAAATGTTCCCCACCTCATGTATTTTAGGGAAAATATGAAGTAAAACTGGCATTAATCTTTATTAAATATTTGGTAGAATTCTTCAGAAAAAACACTGAAACCTACGATTTCACTTTGGGGAACCTTTTAATCACAAAATTAGTTTCTTTGATGATTTATAGGACTATTCAGATTATGCATTTTGGTTGAGTTTTGATAAACTGTGGCTTTTGAGGAATACACGTATTTCACCTACGTTGCCAAAATATCAATATAAAATCATAGCACTCCCTTATTATCATTTCAATGGCTACAGGACCTG